GTTCAGAGGAGGACGTAAGACCAGAGTCACCACACAGCACCGTCACATTCTGTACTTTAGCTAACAGTCCTGGCTAAAATCATGTCAAGTCATTTTCCAGCTTCACACTATTAAGTTGAAGTTGATCAACTTCAATTTGTGGATTTACTCATGTATACTGTAAGAATTTAAGCTTTTGGATCAACTTGTTTTTTTATTCATTTACTGATGAGTAATTAACCTGAGCTAAATGCTAACCTTTAGCTAGTTTTGTTGCCCCTGTTTCTCAGTTGTTGCCCACAAACCTCACCTAAAAACTGCTTTCAAACACATCTATAATGATGATGCCTGAAGTAAGACTGGAGGAGAAGTCTTCACATGAGCATGAAGCAGTGAAGTCCAGCAGTGTAATCTAAGATCTTCATCACCACAGAGCTGCTGTGAATGTTAACTGAACACCTCCTCCTCCTCCTGATTCTCCTGCTCTTTGTCCACCACAGTTTTCAGAGTCTGACTGAATAACAGCAGTAAAACAGGATCACGTTCAGTCGGCTGCTGAATAAAATATACACAGAAGGTCTCAGAGTTACAGAGGAGATCTGTGATAAAGACAGGACCTCAGCTGGGGCTGCTGTTGTTGCTGGGACTACAGGACTGAGGACCCAGGACCACCCTGCCCTGGGGGAGTCCAGATCAGCAGATCACTGACACAATTCATTAGATTTTTAAGTTTAATATATATATCTGGGATCTTTTCATAACTCAGTGTTTGAACAGGAATCTCCGAGGGTGTCAAATATCTGTACCTCACACCACTCCTTTGATTTTAGCCATATACCACATGCTATTTCAATAACATTTTAAAATGATCAACTATTGGCATGATGACAACTTAGTTGCATGAGTTGTCTATAACTAAAGGTTAGCATTTTCGATAAATGCATTAGCAACCATAAACAGCTAAAAATAGTGAGAAATAACAGGAAGCTAGCTCAAACCTGTGACATACTTGAAAAAAAAACAAGCTAAAAGTTCAAATCAATATATAATAAAATACTTGTATATTAACAATAAAACCAAAAACATGCTGCTGCACCGAGAGGGGGATTAAGTTGGAACATGGTAAAACTTATGTTATGTGGTTTTCTATTTTTAAGTTGGACCCTTGGTCCAGGTCTAAGACGAGGCCAGGACTTCACAGCTCTGTCCACTGTCCACGTGGACTGACTTCACTCTGGAGCATTTCATCATGAGTCACGTTAAAACTTCTCCCTTCATTAGCTGTGTTCACCACACAGACTGACAAACTGACCCATAACAACAACAACAACGTTTTGGCGCAGCACCACATCCAGCCACTGCTGCTGCACAATAACAAACAGGTCATTGTTCAGCTCGGCGTGGGACGATTGTTCCACCGAGGCACAGCCAAAACTAATACTGACTTACCAGGAGAACACAATGGCAGAATGATGCAGTGGGAGTCTGCTGCCAGTGGTATTTCTAACAGTGCTGGGAAAACTCATCAACCTCCTGATGAGAGAAGAACCTCGGAGGTAACCCAAACGTTGATGTCAGGACTCAGGCCTCAAGAAAAGACTTAAATAAGCCTCATGGTCCATTAGAGACAAAGGTTTTTTGTAACTATTTCAGTCGACATTAGTTGTGTTTGGTTATATCTAGTGGGGTTTGCTAGGTTGTCTAGATGTCCCATAATTCTTTGCTAACATTAAGCCAATCATAAAAAACCTTTCATTTAGCATGTTCCTTCATTCATTCCTTCATGTTCCTTTATTTTGACTGGCTCTTAGTTAGGGCTAAACTTTTAACATGTTGACCATTTATTTGAGCTACATATTATTTTTTTATCTATGGTTTTTGTGTTTTTGATAACCCTCTACACTTCTATCAAAATATTCTATTATTTATAACATTTTATGATAGCATATATTATAGCAATATTGCTAACATTAGCAATAGCCCAGAGCGTATGGAGTCTAGTCGACAACAGCCATGGATAATACTTCGTAACTTCGTAAAAGAATGATTCAAAAAAGCAAAAGAAAGACATCTGATGCTTTTCAAGTCATTTATGACTCCTTTTAAATCCAAGTATAACACACCTCCCTGTCACATATCAAAAACATTTAACAGCCTGTAACCCCAGGGGTTTTGTCCAGTTCAACCCAGTCTATAGGGTGCACAGGAAAAGAACAGTGCTCCTGATGGCTGGCCCCTGTTTCTTCAGTTAAAGGATACCTTTGATTAAAAAAAAAGGTAAAATGTGCAGCAAAACATTTTGCAGGAATATAAACAAATACCAATACTGTCCAGTGAGACAGGGACAGGGAGCATGGATGTCAATACCAGGTCTCACAGTCACACATTTCCTCTGCTGTGAGTGAGTGATTGGGGGAGGGAAGAAAGCCCTGCTCCTGTGGCCTTGCTGTGCCTCCAAGGCCTCCACAGTATGTTTAGACTGCGACCAGGTCATCCATCACACAGACTCCTCCCTCCTTCCCTGGCCGAGGAGTAGTAGGAGGGGTGAGGTTGGGGTGAGGAAGGACTCATCTCTCACTCCTGCTGAGACTCAATCTGGAGGGTGAATGAAGTCACTCCATTGTGCCTGCAGCGTCCTCAGCTCTGAGCTGACTGCCTTTTATTTATGGCTCTGGCATCTGAGCTAAACATCAACAACGGCAGTGAAATAAATGCAGTTAACCTCAATCTGTGTGGGTTAATTTAAACCTCTGCTTTAGTTTCTGGAAAATCAGTGGAAAAGGAGTGAATTTTGAAAAAGACAAGCCTGTCTCCATAAAGAAGTTACTCAGGGTAAAATATCTGATATTGTGATAAGTGTGTTATTTAAAAAAAATAAAAATGATGTAGTCTTTATCAAAACAGTTGCCCAAAAATTGATCCAAACATTAAGTTCATGACAGAACAATACCATCTTCATCAACATTAGCTGTGAGGGTGACCACGACATAAGGCTACAACATAACCAAAACAGTATCCATAAATGTAGTTCAGTTTTTTAGTAAGCAATGAAAAAAAAACCTACACTAAGAAAGACAAGGCTCCATTAGACTGCTTATGAAACCATGTCTGTATACGTGTGTCTCCTTTTGTCCTCCATACATCCTTTTAAAGCAATGTTTTCACAGAGGAGGATACAGTCTTCTGCCCAATGTCACGACAATGACGGGGGCCATTATGAATAATGTACAGTGAAGCAGAACAGAAAAAAAGAAAGAAAGAAAGAAAGAAGGAAAGAACCAAAACGGGAGAGAAGGATGGGTTCATTTTTTGCAGCTATCAGGATTCAGGGAGGAACATGATTTGGACAACTGCCTGCCTAAATGAATTATTATTGATCTCCAACCATCACACATGCCTTTTGAAATTGTATTGACCCCCTCTTCACTGCTGTGTCCACCAGAGCACATGCAAGTAGCTAGAAGCTGGCTCTATAAAATAAATCAACTGTCAGATTTAACATTTACAGATGTGTGTTTGGGAGTGGTTTTCATATTCACTCCCCATCCTCCACTCACTCCCCTCCCTGCCTCGCAGCTGTAATAATTCATCGTATTTGTTGTGCAAACAGGCGGTGCAGGCTGCTCATGTAAGGTAAGAACAAAAACTGTGGCATCAAATGCCATAGACGTGAACTACAACTCCTTTATACTCTAGGTGAGAATGGTAACTAGCTACAGATGAACAAGGACTATTGCTTCAGTAGAATATTGATGGAATGAACCACCGTCAATATCCAAATATAAACTGAACATATTGTGTCAGACCTGGTCTGATACAATATGGTCTGATACATATTGTATCAGACCTGGTGGTATTATGGACTGGGATCAAGATAGCCATTGACAGCACTAATAACCGTAAAACTCTGGACATTTCATATGTACTAAAAGACGTTAAAAAGTTAAAGTAGCAAAGAGACAATATAGCTCCAGTTTTGGTCCAATTCTGCCTAGACCTGCAAACAGACTGTTATTCTTCAGCTGCTCTAAAAATGTAGCAAATTAAAGGACAGTGTCTGAAGTACACACACAGTCATAATGTAAGACTTTAAATCACAAAGCATTGCTGTATACATGTGTTGTGGAGAAAGTCAAATATATTTGTGTAGTATTTTCAATGTCTGTTTATAAAGGCCTCCTAAATGATCCACACCGGACCTTTAAAGCCCTGTGCTGTAGAAGCTGCTGCAAAGCAGTTCGCGAGTTGAGCTGATTAACACTGTAAATCACTTTCACAGTCCACATAAGCCTTATAAAGACATTCTTAACACAGGGAATGAGGACTTTTACCATTTTACAACACGTGGAAATTATAATAAACTAACAATAGTTTTGATAATATAAGGCTGTTTATGGCTCGGCTTCCGTTAGCTCCTGAAACATTGGAAATAAATGTCAGCGGTGAAAAGCAGATAACACAAACAGTGACAGGTGTGTGCCTCCGCCACACGGACTATTTTACTCCAGCTCAATTAAATCGTCCGTTAAGTTCTTACAGAAATAAGGTGAACTTAATATGCCGTTTTATTCCAAATGTAATCACAAACATGATAACAACCCAACTCATAAAGGAACATTAACGCAGTCGTGCGGTTTTTGACACGAAAAAGAACAACCCAATCGGCACAGAGGATTTTTGAAACATGTACACGCAGACATGTACAAACACATCAGGCTCCTCTTTGTCAGACTCGTTATCGTTGACAAACACCAGTTGCTTTATCAACAGAAACGACGCCCATTTTAAGCTTCAACCTGCTCAAACTAAATAGTCCTCAATGCACGTAAGGGCGAAGCACTACCGTAAATAGAATGTGCTGCTTGACAGAATCCCGACAGGTCCAATCAGATCCCAGCAGGACAGTCGTGTTCGTGACGTATAACTGGGTTCAGCCAATGGCCTTACATTGCTGGGTGTTGACCTCTGCGAGCCGCATCACCACCTTCTCTGCGTCCGTGGCGGATGGATAGTATATAAAAACAAAGCGGTCCAAGTTTTAAAGGGCAGAGTTGTAAAAACTCCCAGGCTGTGGGAGTTAGCGAATAACGTCTCAAGATCCATTTATTCCCCCACTGAAGCCGAGGAAGACCTACCTGGAGCGTTACTACTGAGAGATAACATATTTATTATTTTGTATTGATCTTTTGTATAGGCTTAAGTTGCAATTTGGTGGAGATTCCTCTTGGTGCAAGGAGCAGCCGTAAATTTCCATGTAAGTGTGTATACTTTTATTGTCATCATGTCGCCATAACAGTAATTCCTGTAAAATTATTGAATATCGTCGTGTGTTGTCGTGTATATTAAAACAGTGGCTGGTTTGTTGGATTTCGGTCGTTAAATACCGAGCTGTCGCCGCTGGGCTCATTAGGATGCTACGTCGCTCGTCATGATGCTCCCCACAAGCACGGCTCTTAGTCCGGATTAAAAATATAGTTTTTTAACCTTGTAAGTAAACTATAGACCGTGTCAGAGTCTCTATCACGACACTGTCACGGGAGAACGACCGCTGATAAGCAGCTGATCGGGTCAACCATTAACTAATGTGTGGTGTTCAGATCGAGAGCTGCTGTTTTTTCCTTTGACACCGTTCATTAACTCGGTTTAGCACAATGCTAACACACGGACAACCCCATGGATTATGATCTAACCCGGTGGACGTTATTCCAGTGTGTGGTTTATTTTTGTCACTGTAGGTTGTACAGTCCTCCGTGGTTTCAGACTTGAATAATGATTATGTAACAACAACTGTCATTCTCGCTCTGCTCGGCTCTAGCCCGGTCTCAATGGGGACGTATCGCGAGAATTTCAGAACAATCTCCATAATAATCCTGTTTTAATTTGATAACGCATAGACGGTACATAAAAAAAATTGCACAAAGCCATCTGGTTGCATCGTGACGTCCCAGGAATCCTCAGACATGACCTTGATTGTATAAGCAACCCAATTCAAATCGAAATCACGGTAAAAAAACCAAAACAAACTACTTTTGTTAAACTCGCAGTTTTGAAAAATATTTTCCAGCGCAGTTTATGGTTCAATGTTCTAGATTCAAGGTTTCTACAACAAACATGTAGACACTGTTGAATTTCAGTCTCATTCGAAGGACAGTTGCCAAAATCAGGACCCTACTTTTCCAAAATGGTTATAGGATTAAAAAAAGTGAAAAGCTTTTCAAACCAGATGATTCTAATCTTTAGTCAAGGCAGTTTTGATTGAAACAGCTTAACTGACCAACAGAAGGTTAGTTTTTGTATTTTCAAAAAGTTCTGAAAGGTTTGCTCCCTGTTATTGTTACTGATGCAGGTCATTGATATTAGGAAGGAAGTGTTTTACAAGTTCTACAGAACTTTCTCATCTACACTTTTGGAACAATTTCTGTCAACTGAAATATAAACAACAATTTTTGATTAGCACTTTATTCAAATGTTTTGTCATGAAGTAGCTGCTTCTTTTTTTCCCCCACTGTAGGTACATTCAGTTCCAAGATATTTGCTTAACTTCCTACCATAAATATTTGTTTTCCTAGTTATTTAGTATTCCAGAACTAGTATTCACTAGTATATTAGTTTTTTTTTTAATCCTCAATCCATGTGTATTTGACACTGTCATCACCTTCATCTTTGAAAAGGATAAAAACATTCCCTGATCCACTGAGCACTTAGTCTCGATGGTAAACTTTGCAAAAGTCTCCAATCAAATAGTATTTATTTACAACTAATCATTAGTGTGCGAAACTAAATCCAGTCAGAAAGACTGGTCTGTTAGAGTTAAATAAGAAGCTTTTTTTTCCTCAAATGGGCGTGGGGGAGGGCAGAGAGTTGGATTGTTGGCGTTTTGCCTCAACATGTCCCTGTGCCAGACCCAGTCCATCTGAAATTCTTGTGACTATTGACACCCGCTATCAGATCCTCCGCCCTCCGCAGAGGTCGACCGCGGTTGCGTTTATCTGTCACATTAGACCGCTGGGGAACACACACTGCTGACACAGGCTCTGACTCAGTGGCCCGGGTATATTTATAGCCCGTAGATGTGGTCCAGCTGAGTTGCAGCACCACTGTGTTCAGTGGATTGTAAAAAGTCTGTAGTCGGTCAATACTTATTTATTTATTCATCTGAGGCTCCAGAGTTTTAATATTTCCCTTCTTCTGCCTGTCTATGTTTTGCTTCAGGTTCCTGAGTCTAATCCTGCTCCAGGGAAGAAGGATATTCTCTTTGGCATTGAGCACTTCATCACAGTTTTTCATTCCGTCGATCACTGCTGCCTAGGAGGTTTTTGCAGCGCTCTGGAAAATTAAAAGCAACTCTGTGACGGAAAAGAAACCGGCCAAGCAGCTACTATGCAGCTTGAAATTCAAGTAGCACTCAACTTTATTATTTCCTATTTATACAATAAACTTCCTCGACGACGTGTGAATATCTTTGGCGAGGAGCTGGAGAGGCAGCTGAAAAAGAAGTACGAAGGCCACTGGTATCCAGACAAGCCATACAAAGGCTCAGGGTTCAGGTGCATCCATGTAGGGGAGAAGGTGGACCCTGTGGTGGAGCAGGCAGCCAAAGAGAGCGGGCTGGACATCGACGATGTCCGAAATAACCTCCCTCAGGACCTTAGCGTGTGGATCGACCCGTTTGAGGTTTCCTACCAGATCGGTGAGAAGGGACCGGTCAAGGTGCTATATGTGGACGATAACAGCGAGAACGGGTCAGAGCTGGACAAGGAGATCAAGAACAGCTTTAACCCTGAGGCCCAGGTCTTCATGCCCATCAGTGACTCTGTAGGGGCGTCCTCAGAGTCCAGCTCCCCGTCTCCTCCCTTTGGTCAGTCGGCTGCTGTAAGCCCCTCCTTCATGCCTCGTTCCACCCAACCCCTGACCTTCACTACCGCCACTTTTGCCGCCACCAAATTTGGTTCCACCAAGATGAAGAGCAGCGGCCGTGGAGGCAGCAGTGGGGGCAGCAGCGGCAAGTTGGCACGCACTTCACCAACCAACAACCTGGGCCTGAATGTCAACACCCTGCTGAAGCAGAAAGCCATGTCCACCTCCATGCACTCACTGTACGGGCTGAGCCTGGGCCAGCAGCAGCAGAAAGCTTCTGCCCTTTCTCCCAATGCCAAGGAGTTCGTGTTCCCCAGCCTGCAGGGCCAGGCCAGCCCCGGGGCCGTCTTCCCCGGGGAGGGTTCCCTGGGCAGTCTCGGCCCCCTGCCGTACAGCAATGCCTTTGACATGTTCGCAGCCTACGGAAGCCTCAACGACAAGTCCCTGATGGACGGCCTCAACTTCAGTCTGAGCAACATGCAGTATTCTAACCAGCAATTCCAGCCGGTCATGGCTAACTGAACTCATCATCTTCATCGTCTTCAACTTCATCATCATCCACAAGGTTCTTATTTATGAGTGACGGTGGCTCAAAGAGAAGGAAACAAAATACCAACACACACTTTAGTGAACTGGACTCTGGAGGACCTAGGGTCTAGTCAGTCAGGCAAGCGCATGTGCCCAAGGGCATTTTCTTTCATTCTTTCTTTTTTATGGCGGCCCCTTGAGTTTGGTTTCTACTGAAGAAAAACCTTGTTGTACAAACACATCCAAGTCTGAAAACACGCACTGTTGTTTTTCTTTTCCCTTTTTGCCAACCAAGCACAAATTTTTTTACTATGTTGAGAAAAAAAAATACTGCTAAAAAGTAAGAAAAAAAAACCAAAACAAAACAAAAAAAAACAAAAAAAAACACAAGTTTCAAGTTTGGGCCTCTTACAGTATTTTACAGGTGGTAAGACAAGGCTGATTTTTATGGATTGGCACTACTACGTGGGGTTACTTGGTCTTTTTCTAATTGTATAATTTAATTTAGTACAGAGTTTGTAAGATATCAGAGTATATATTGTTTCTATGACATGGTGTTGCATTTATATCTTTTTACTACTCCAGTGATCTGTGATGGCTGCAGCAGCTTTTCCTTATTTTTGTTTTCTTTTTTTAAAGATAATTGTTAAAGAAATCCATCTCTAAAAAAATACGTCACCTATTCTAAAGATTGTGTACAGAGTATTCCTGAGTGGTGGAATTCAAATGTAGGAATATTTTGCTTTTTTCCTGAAAGATGAATTGTATTTTCTGTTGAAGAGGTGAAAAAAGATTTTTGCTATACTATGGACAAAAATGTAATCGTATGAATATTAATTTTGTACCTACATTGTGCAATACTTGATAAAAAAAATACGGTATAACAAAGTATTTTGAGTCAGTGTCTTACATGTCAAGAGGGACTGAAATAGTTTATATTGTTAAGTTTGTATTAAATGCTTAAAAATGATATGCTTGTCTTTATTTTTTTTAATTTCATATTTGCACCCTGGTCTTTTTAATAAAATAAACAACAGTTGAACATGAGCTGCGACAAGTTGTTTTCATTTAACTTTGGTTTCAAAGGTAACCTCACAGAGAGAATAATCGACTTTAAATCAGTTCTATATCTAATCTAAAATACCTTTTCTGAACTCATCTGAATTTTAAAAAAAATGAAGGAGCAGAAGTTGCTGCGTGCCTGTCTGCTAAGAAATGCTGATTCTTCTCTCTGGACACTGGTACGGCAGAGTTGGCGTTTGAACTTCACTTCCAGTTGGATGAGCTCCAATAACGTGAAGTGAAAGTATCCTCCTGTAAGATACTCATTTATTTTAGCTTGTACGAAACTTCATTATGTAAACTGCTGATTATACATTAATGGTATGCAGACGTCTGTGTTTGGGTTCAATCTACAGACTTAGCATCACAACCATCAGCAGCTACTGGATCTGTTGTGACGTCAACACTCCAGGGGCAGGGCTCGGGTCACATGACTGGATCATTTGAGAACCTCTGCTCTAGATCCTTTCTGGTTTTCAAAGGCCTTGGATTAGCTCTGCAACGTCACACCTCCAGGGACAGGTGGAGCTGTGTTTACGATACGTGACACTGAGTGAAGCAGAGCAAACCTGCCTCGGCCTCAACCAGCCGCTCTTTGTTTGATTAAATGAAGCTATTATCATGTCTACAGGCCGAAGGTTTTACACTGTGTAGGTGAGTGTGTGTGTGTTGTAATCACTGTTGGGCTGCATCATGTGAAGCAAAGAACAGAGTGGACGGAACAAACCAAACATTGACGTGAGCTCTGCGGCTCCAGCAGCTTAACTCACAAGGGACATAATCACAGCAGCCACTCTGAGGTGAAAACAGCACCTCTGTGTGTTTCTTTGCTCTTAAACCACTCCCCAAACCCCGCTCACCTCGTAGCTGCCTGAACGCTCATAAAGTCTGCGTGAGCTGCTCATAAATGAGGCCTTTTGTGTTGGTTTACACAGTCACTCAGCGATTGATAAAGGTGCGGAAAGGCCCTTTACTGTGGCCCAGTTAGGTAACTGCTGCGACGGGCTTTGAACTGTACTAACTGTCACGGCAGGAAAAAACAGCAGAGACAAGTTTAGTGTCATCCATGACTGGGGCACCAGCCCGACTGGTACAATACAGGAAAATAATGTGGCCCCCACTGTGGGTCAACAATAAAACAGTCACCTTAGAGTTACGCTATATTTCTGTATATATTTTTGTATATATACTGGTATATATACTGCACTGGTAACACGTGGGCCGTTAGCAGTTCAAGTTTTTATCTCAATAATTACTGCTGAGAAACTGCAGTGACTGACTGTGTCCTCTGTGATAAATATTACCAAATTAAACGGATTCATCAATATGGCCTCTGAATGTTCAAAACAACTCCATGTTGAATGGATTTTGGGAGAACGTTAGACGCAGCAGTCTTACAGAGGCTCTGATTGGCTGAGGCGTGTGATGACACCAGTCCCTAGCCTGTACTGATCAACGCTCCACTTCGCTCAAAAACACTGTGTTTTGGTTGTTGAATAAATCTGAAACACAAAGCCTTTTCTCCAGCCTGCCAACCAAACACCCACCAGTTTTGACCTTGAAGGTCCTGGAGAACCAGAAAACAACAACATGATCCAAGTAGACACTTAAAAGTTGGCCAGGAGTGTTGGCAAAAATATTTTGCAATGTCATTCCACAAAAGGGAGATCACATGTGTCTGCCCTGAGTACACTGCTGGTTTTTAAAGTTTTTTTAAATTATTTTTTTCTTCTCTGATGGATTCAGACCAAAAACTGAAGAAGTGTGCTATTGATTTTGGTCAGTGATGTAAAAGAGTGACTTCCCTCCCTCCTCTTCCTACAATAAGAACAAACACAGTGTGTCTGTATCTCCCCTCTGTGTTTGCAAGACAAATTACCCAGAATCCTCCTGCACTACAAAAGTAATTTCTCTGAAACTAAAGGAGGAAGAGGAGCAGCTGATGGAGGATTAGCAGGCAGTGATTATTTTAGCAGCTGTGACTCCACCCATGTCAGACCCACTCCTGGTAGAAACACCTATGTTTGCTTTCATAAGTGCCTTCATGCCTGACAACACACCCTCTGGTTCACTGCCAACATCGTGACAATGCACAGATTTCCTCTGCTTATGTTAAACCGACCATGTTGGTCAGTAAATTCTCTGAGCTGTTGCAGATCCACTCACTTTCTATTTCTGGAAGTGCCGAAAAAAAGAAAAAAAAAATCAATTTTGTTTCGTGTTGCTGTGCTGTAATTAATTAGGTCGGACTGTTCCGGAGCATCTATTCAGCTGTACAGCTCAGATTGTTCCTTTTCAATAAGTACTGAAGTTGTGGAAGACGTGCACACAAAGGGACGCCTGGATGAAAGAGTTGTCAGCTGAATGAGAAACGGTTTTTGGACACAGCCGGGGTTGACAAAGTCAGTGTGAAGACAACCGGTCAAGACTGTGGTTTGACCCTGGGGTCACCACCTGGTTTGGAGAATCAAGAAGATGTCATTCAAAATAAATGACAAATTAAACTCCAAACTTGACAGATAGTACTCCTGATATTTACCCTCGGTACGAACCAAGTTACCACGGCAGTACTACGATAATAGAGTAACATAAAGTACTGCTCTTTATCACACACTACACGGCTTTGTTTATTTACAGCAACAAACACAGCTACTGTGCAAAATCTTTTAACAAAATGCAAAGATGAGATTATTTTCCTCCATACAACATGCTACAGTATTTATGAAGTATGTCATACCTGTATAACCTTAAGAAGTTCTTCTGGGGAATATTTGTCCTTGTTTTGATTGTTTGAAAAAATCAAATATATTAATTAATAATAAAGCAAATATATTTGTCAACTCACATGTTTCACACCTGTCTTTCTTAAGGTCTTAAGGTTTTCTTCATCTAGCACAAATGAAAAGTGTTGGATTGACGAGCGATGAATTGTGAGCTAACGATGGACAGTCACGTGCTTAGAAATGTAACCAATCAAAAACCCTCATTATAACTTTATCTGTTTCTGGCAGTTGGACTCGGTTTTCTAAAAGAATTGAGTTTTAACCACATGGTGAACAGATTGTTCTTCTACACTCAGGCTCACAGCTCAGGTTATTTTACATTTTTAAATAGGATAAATGTCAGTTCAATTAAATAAGAAGCAGCGGTGGACCTGCAGCTGTTGTGTCAGTGCAGCCTAAAAACCTTCATTTTCTCTGTGAACTTTGGTAGAGAGAGGGTACAAATCCTGGTTTTCAGCCTGACAAGGCGGTCTAACTGGGAAATAACGTAATAAATATGCTCTGGAGATATGGTGGACAGAGGAGGGCACAGTATTCTGCTGGCAGCCATGTCTACTGTGAGAACTGAAAGTAATAACCACCATATTTCACACACTTGTTCCAAGAAAATGTACAGTCAGTGGGTCCTGACCATATGTCTGCACTCATACAGCCACACTGCACGAAGTATCCCTTTAATACACACACACACACACACACACACACACACACACACAAGCAGCTCAGCTCCCTGGGATAAACAGGCCCACAGATGGTCTGGTGTCTACCAGCTGGGAGACTCCCAGGGTCCGAGGTGTTGGCTGGCTGTGACTCCGTCCTGTTTGTTCCAGAGAGCGTTCATCTCCTGCTACACTCTGACATTCCTGACCACAGCTTCACATACTAACACACACACACACAGGTACAAAGTGTTCCTTATCATTCTGCTGCACCACTGACACACACACACACACACACACACACACAGCAGATCATCCAGTACAGGCCATGTGTTTGCTCTGAAGGTGTTTCTCAGCCCGCAGGAATTTTCTGTTTGAGGTTTACATGACACCCAAATAAAAAACACTACACATATAAATATAACGGGGGAAAAAAACCATTCATACTGTGTTAACTCTGAATCCACAATGTGTTGAATGTGACATATACACTCAGTATGACTGATGCTGCTATGAAATAATACTACTGTGTTCTTTGTTGTCCTAATCCCAAAATATATTTGTCATTCTAAGCTTCAATTTGAAAACAGTCAGTAAGTGGACTGCATTTTTTGCTAACTCTTAACCAATGTCCAACCGTTTTTGGCTAACGTTTATACAGAGGTGGAGAGAAGAGTAAAGATACTTTCTCCTAATGACATTTTTAGCACCTTTTATACCTCTACGTTTAAATATCAGTTGATTATTAGCTCACACATTTTCATACATGGTGTTTTGTATGCAAGCAACTGTAAGAAGGCGTTACTACAACAAACAAACCATTAACCAATTATTAGTCAGAGCTTACTTTTAAGGTTTTACTGTGTAACTTCACGTCTACAGGCTGTAGATCTGTTCTGTCTGTTTTACTGCCCTGGTAATCCTGGAACCACCTCAGTATAAAACAAGGCTGACATGAATACTAATGAGAAGAGTTTAATGAAAATATTCAATTAGTGCTTCGTCTTCACTTTTAAAAATCAACTCTTTGGTATTGAACAGATTCAGCCTCGACCTCTGACCCTATGAACAACATACAAGTGGAATTTCCTGAAACTGTCAAACGGTTCCATGATGTATCCATTAGTTATTACATTTAGGTTCTGAGTCTGTACTGTAGTTCTATAAATGTCCTGCAGAAAGTCTTTCTCTGAACTGAAGTGGAATTTGAATTATTTGTCACAGAGTCAGACTTCAAATATTTTCCATGAGACAAACATCTCAGCGTCAGGATTGTTGGCCCTGAGAGGCAGATGTTACATTTCAGCTGTACTTTAACACAACAGTGTGTATGACAACACATCCAACCAGGGTCCAAATATCTCCCAACTCTGACTGAGAGCAGGCAGAACAGCCGGGAGGGAAGGGTTATGTTTGGTCCTGGTTGAAACCAGACGAGGATTTAGGATCACTGGGACACTGGGACAGTGGAGAACCCTGGTGGATGTCACAGTTTTACACTTTTATCTTGTGTGGATCAAATTATATCTGCGTGTTGCTTTTA